ACACACAGAAAATCCCCTTCCTCTGCAGTGATTCGAGTGACACAAGGGACTCTCCGCCCTCGGAGAAAGAAGAAACCGCCGCAAAGACGGAGAAGAACGACGTGAGCTTCAGCAAAGAGAGTAACAGGTTCCCTCTAATTTCTCCAGAAGTATTTTCTGTGGAAGCACTGCTCAGGGAGTGTCTGTGCAGGGAGTTAGTGGAGAGCAGAGAAGTGCCAGAGTTGCACAGACAAAATGCAGTTGTTGTGCAGAGCAGCACAGGCACAGCCAGGTGGGAGGAGCGGTGTGAGCCAGGACCCAGCCAGCAAGGACAAAGTGACATTAATTTGGTTATTAAACAATTCCCACCTAGTTTGCACTGGACAGCATGCTTGGGGAAAAGGTAAAGGTCTGACCCACTCGTTGAGGAAGATCCAAACTGGGCTGTTGTACCAATTAAACTGGCACAGGGGTGGCTCAGGGACGGGCTGGGGAACATGGTCACAGTTTCTCCATCCTCAGTCGCTCCTGGTCCCTTGCTCCCATTTCACTCAGTCACTGCTTTGCTGCAGCAGGATTCCCAAAAAGGGCTTTGTTGAGGTGACTGAGCTAACGGACATCAACTACACCAGTAACTTGGTGCGCCTGAGGCCGGGCCACATGAACGTCGTCCTGATCCTGTCCAACTCGACCAAAACCCCCCTGCTCCAGAAGTTCGCCCTGGAAGTCTACACATTTACATGGTAGGCTGGGGCCTCTCCTGGGTTTCTGTTATTGTGTTAACAACTTGTGTGAGGCAGCTCTGGCGACACAGGAGGAGCAGGGTCAGCTCCAGTGCCAAGAGGAAACATCTCTGTGCTCATCTGTGGCAATGAGCCACCAAAAAACAAGTGGCCTTTCCTGGCCAAACTCAGTGATGGTGCCCACATGGGTCTGGTGCTGCTGCCACTTTGGTTGTACCAATGTTCCAGCAGAGAGCACAACAGTGCTGGACACTGGGCAAGTGTCACCTGTGCTGGAAAAGGAGCTGCAGCAACACTGCTCTGCTCTGCCCTTGCTGACAAGCCCTTACCTGTCCATAGCAATCCAGCCTTACTCACGACACTTGCTAATCCCACTGTCTCTTCTGCTCTTTTCCCAGGAGCAGCTCTCTTCACTTCTCCTTCCTCAGCCTGGACAAGCACCGAGAGTGGCTGGAGTACCTGCTGGAGTTCGCGCAGGACGCGGCCCCCATCCCAAACCAGTACGACAAGCATTTCCTGGAGCGCGACTACACGGGCTACGTGCTGGCTCTGAACGGCCACAAGAAATACTTCTGCCTCTTTAAGCCTCACAGATCAGGGGACGAGGGGGGAACGCCGGGATCGTGCGAGGATTACGATGCCTCGCTACACGCGGAAGCCAGAGGGAAACCCTCCTGCAGCCCGGGATCTAGATCCATTAAAAACAAATTACACAAATTGTCCTTTTGGATGGAACGCCTCCTAGAGGGTTCCTTACAGAGGTTCTATATCCCCTCGTGGCCCGCGCTAGACTGAGGGATTTTACAGAGATTCTAAGGGACAAACTTTTTATGAAGATGACAAGGGGACAGCTCTTTCCAGGAACACACAAACAAGTGTGATGAATGGACCTTAGGTTTTAGGTGAACCCTCCCGGGGCCGGAGACTAAAACAAACATATCTCCCCCCGTCTGGAGCCCGGGAGCGCAGCCCAGCGCACCCACACGCCCTCCACTGACCCGCCGTGCGCTCAGACGCCGTCCTACCGAAGAGCCAAGAAGTCTGTTTATTCCCTTCTCGTCCTGCCACATCTGCTTCCCGAGTCTCCCCTGTTCCATCTCTTGTTTTTACCTTGGTCGAAGAAAAAAAAAAAAACAAAAAACCCCGTGACTTCTCCCAGCCAGGACCAACCGCGGCCGGTGGCGCAGGTCGGGTCGCGGTTCTCTCTCTCCCCATCCCCCTGTGCTTAGCCCATGGTGCAGTGCATGGTGTAACACTGGCAAGACCCTGCAGACCCTCCCAGGCCCTGCCCTTCCAAAAGGCCTCCTCCCACCAGGCAGTTGTACTTCTTCGGCTTTCCCCCGTGGTAAGTGACGTAGAGTCCGGTCAGGAGCATCTCCCTCGTAGCAAACCTGCAGCTGGGGCTCACCTGTGGTGCGGGCTCGTGGGTGATCTGCATGTTTCATGCTCCTCGTGTCCCGGTTCCCACGTGCAGCTTCAGAGGCTGAACCGTAAGCGGGAAGGAAAAGGGTTTTGCACGGCCGTAAATACTGTCCAAGTGTTGAGCCATTTAAATGTCACGTTGGTTTTTTCAGATGCCTTTTCTGCTTCTGTCGATTTTAGACGATGTATCCTAGAGCCATAACTTTACCTGCGTCCTCAGATTGTAGGCGTGAGCTGCTATGAGCCAGTAGGTGTGTAAAGAAACCTCTACGTAGCTGCCAGGGAGTCCACCTGGGCTCCTTGCAAACACCCTTCCAGCTGTAGTACAAACCAACCTTCCTTTGTGTCGAGGAACCTCATCCTTCAACGATTGTATTCTTGAAATGTTGCCCCAGAAGTGCTGTATCATCAGACCGTCACGTGTGTGTGCGAAGCTCCTTTTGGTTCAGGCGTGAGGTTGAGACGTTGCGTTTCAGCCTCTCGCCCATTTCCACCTCTTGCCCATTTCCTTCTTGCCCCAAACCTCTATTTTTCCACACTCAGGCTGCTGCCTTGGCTTTGTGTTTGTTTGCTTGGGTTTTTTGTGGGGTTTTTTTTTGTCTTTTGGAAATTGTAAGTCTGTGTGAGGCCAGAACAGGGTTGGGATGGTGCTTTGCTGTAGCAGTGCCCCCAACAGCCACTTCAACACTGCTGGGAAAGGGTGGCCCTGGGTGAGGTGGAGGGAGGACGAGCAGCAGCCTCGTGGTTGCTTAACCTTCTAGCAATCAAGGGAGGCAGCAGGGCTTCTCTTTGTGGCCAGGACTGAAATCCTGTGAGGCTTGTGCTTCCTTTTCGCTGCTCTGGGGCTGACACTGTCCCCCAGGTCTCCTTCCATGGATCCCATCACCATCAGGGCTCCAGCACTGCCAGAGTGCAGGGATGGGAGCAGGTGGCCTTTGCCACAGGGCTCTGAACCTGACACAGAACACTCAGAGCACAAGGTGTCAATGCCAAACTCAGCCCTTGCCACCTGAGTGACCACCTTAGCAGAGCAGGCAGTCAGTAGGAATAACTGCCAACCTCTGAGCCAGCTGCTGATCCCATAGGAAGAAGGGAATGCTCAAGTCATTGCACTGCCTACATGCCCTGTTTGCTCCCAAAGCCTTGCCTCGCTGCATTTCCTCCCATCCTGGGAGCAGACTGGTGTGCTCTGAACCCCACAGGTACCTCAGACCCCTGTAAAATGTACTTCAAATAAAGGCTACCAACCAACCCTACGTGAGGGTAATTAATTCCAGCCCAGCAGACTCCGTGCCCCAGAAAGCAGAGGGAAGAAATGAAGGAAGGAAGGAAGGAAGGAAGGTGAGGTCTCCTCCCTGCCCAGGGGCTCTGAGGTGCACACAAACTGCTGAAGGAGAGCAGAGGGGGAACAAAACACCAGCCTGATGCTTCCAGACTTCATATTCACTTGGCTGGAGCGATTGCTGTCTACTCCTGTGCTCTCTCATGCAGGAGGTGGCTTGAATAGGTTTTAGCCCACCAAAAGGCTCCACATAACTTCATTAATGTTTGCAAAAGCAAAATATACTCTCTGGGTCTCTGCTGTCTCTTTATCAGGTCAGAAACCAGTAGAAAAGCCTCAACCCATGAAAAAAAAATGTGCCTAGTTGTACTACAGCAAGGGAATTCAGCCCTGCCCCAAGGAAGGAGAGAAGGCTTTACAGCCTTCAAATTCTGCCAGAGTCCTTGTTTTTATTTTCTTTTTAGCACAGGTAACCTCCCCTTTCAACCAGAGTTGAGTTGAAGGAGCACTTGCAGCAGTCCACCCTTGCTGGGTTTGGCTGGATGGGAGCACAGCTCCTGGTTTCTGTTTTATGGAAACCCTTTTTCCTGGGTTGAAGCAAATGCCGAGCTGCTCCAACCCCTGGTTTAGTAGGTTTTAGTGCCAGTGTGGCGCTCCAGGTGTTTGCTGTCTTGGAGAGCAGGGTCAGAGCTGCTTATCCCAGGATCTGCCCCTACTCTCCCAGCAGCCATGAGCCCTCACCCCCCCCATCCTTTCCTAACCCTTGTGATTCTGTTCCATGCGTGGTGGTTCATAATCCAAAGATTGAGGAAATTCGGTCCTAGTGCTCTGTCCTAGTGAGATCCAAGCAATGGCACAGTGCTCGGAGCTGAGGCGAAGGGACACAGGCCCCGGAGTGGAGCTTGTTCCCAAACTCCTCCCTGTCCCTGTCTCTGCCCTTCACCCACAGCAGCCAGGAGCCAGCACACGAGCGCAGCTTGACAAGTAGGACTGAAAACTAGGTACCTATTTTGCACTTTTGATACTGGGAGGGGGGGAATTAACTTATTTGGCAAACTTGTCTTTTTTTTTTTTCTTTTTTTTTGTTTTGGTTTTGTATTTGTGAACAGGCACTGATGTCATTTTGTTTTAAGACTATTACAGGTTCGCAACCAAAATAAACTTATTTTACTGTGTGATGAGGTGGCTTTGTGTTTCCATGTACAAACTAACCTCACCTCCACATCAGCTCAGAAATTCCAGGAGTGATTAAACCACTCCTGCCATAAGAAACTCCTGGTTATTCCATCAGCAGGAACTTCAGTCAAACATCTCCCTAGGCTCAGCAGGATCCCCAGATGCCCTTTGCCCCCCTCCTTTATAGCCATTGTCTTGCTGGCACATCCTGATGGAGAAACCCTTTGCTAATGAGTTTTGCCAGGAGCCCTGTAAGCTGGGTGAATAATTCCAGAGACCAAACACTATTAACACCTCATCTGTCCCTTTACCAGTCCAATTTCAAAGCTCCAGACCCCAATTAAATGGGGTGTTCAAACCCATCTACCCTCTCTACAGCTTCTCAGCCTAAAATTACCTTTACCGGTGGAAAACGGCATTTATTCTGTGCTGCAAAGCCCACGCTGGCTGCAGCTGGATGAGGGGAAGGGGACATGGAAAGCCTGGCTGGGGACATGGAACAGCATTGTCCTGGAGCAGGAAATGTGTCCTCACAGTGTCCTCACTCCTGGGAGAACACACAGCATCTCAAACAGCAGGTTTGCCCCCAGAAGAGCTGTGTTACCTAAAAGACACAACAAGGGAAAAAAAATCCATGAATATCCAATGGCTTTCACCCAAGCACGTGTTTTACTCCCAAGGATCTTTAGACTCACCAGAGACGTCGTACATTGGTGCGACTTCCACGAGGTCACACCCCACTATGTTCAGGCCTTTGCAGCCACGAATAATCTCCAAAGCCTAGGAAAAAGATGGATTTGGGATCAAGAAACATCTGACCTGGTGGACCAGTCAGGGCTCTGCTTTCCCCATTTTCATATGAGGAAACCCAACCTCTGCAGACCAAATCTCATCAGTTCCACATTTCCCTTCCTTCATCAACACAAGGAAACGCTCCCAGGCCTTCCTTAGCCTTTGCTTTGCCATGCTGGTGGCACGAGCTGGGAGCAAAAACGTGCCTTTCCCAGCGGGAAATGCAGCTGCATTCCCTGGAGTCCCCTCACCTGTGCAGGTGTGAGCCCAGCTATCTCCGGGGTCCCGGTGCCCGGGGCATAGGCGGGGTCTAATCCATCGATGTCGAAGCTGATGTACACGGGCCTGTCCCCCATCTGTGCCCTCACCTCCCCCATCAGGGGCTCCAGGGACTTCATCCAGCACTCCTCGGCTGGGACAACCCGGAAACCCTGCGGGGACACAGACACACGGGCACCTGCGCAGGGAAAGGTGGGAAAAGAGGAGCGTCCCCTGCACCACTGGGGATTTCTGCTGGGATCAACCCTCACCCCAGGGCCGAGCTGCAGAGCTGCTCCTGCAAGCACCCTCCACTCCCTCTCCACGTTTTTTTATTCTCTACCCAGCTGACACTTGTCCTGTGGGACAAGCCACTGATGTGGGACAAGATGCAAAAAATGCGTTTATTTTATTTATGCATTTACTTTATCAATATATATTTACTGTATATTTATATCAAATATATTTATATATTTACATATATATATTACACTTGTACATTATGAATATTTGCATATTTATATATTATTTGTATATCTATCTTCTATATTATATTGTAATAGATATAATTTTTAAGTTATACAAAATTATTAAGTAGAAATTTCTAGAAATAATATAAATAAATAGCATTTATAATTATAGCATAAATTATAAATATATGGCATGTAAATATATAATATACTTACTATATTTCTATATAATATATTTATAACTCTACATATTATACAGCATTATAAATATACAGCGTATAAAATATATACCTTATATAAAATTATAATTATGTATGTATATATGTTCATTATATCTTTATATTATTATATTATATTAATTATAATGCATGTGTTTTATTACCATTTATTATATGCCTGCTGAAGGCAAGGAACATTACCGACAGGGGAATATTCTCGGCAGGGAGAGCAGGCTGTGGATCCCCTCACCTGCTGCCGGCTGTACTCGTGTGGGTCGGGGTCGTAGGAGGAGCCTCGGATGCCGATCTGCACCACGCGGCTGCAATCCAGCAGCCCCTCCTCCACGCAGCGCCGGAACGGGGTCCCGTGGTAGATCTTCTCCCCCAGGGCCGCGTCCCCCGTGTCCGTGTGAGCATCCACGTGCACCAGCCCCACGGGACCGTGTCTGCTCCGGACAGGGTGGACACGCTAATCCCCACCCTGTGCACAATGGCCCTGCCCACGGCCGGGACAGCAAACCAGGGGCGCTCCCGAGGCGCTTCCCAGGTCCTTATTTTACACCTCCAGGTTAAAAACTTACTTTGCTGCCAGGGCCTGCAGGATTGGGTACGTTATGGTGTGATCTCCACCTGCAGCAGGACAGGGAAGAGGGGGTAACACACTGCAAGGGCTGCTCAGCGCTCATTACCTTTGTTCCCAGGTATTTTTTTCCCTCCTTGCATTTATCCTGCACTTATTTATACACTCCAGAGCTTCATTCCCGAAGGAATGCCTGAGGCTCCTGAGTGCAGGTTGTTTCCTTTCTCCTCTTTCCTCCTGGGGAGGACCAGAGATGCAGGACTGCCAGCAGGGACAGCCAGTGGAGCAGGACCCTTGATTGGGCTTATAAATAGACACTTGATCCATTTCTGAGGATGCTGCAACTGGTGATTTGCCCCTCATTACTCTACACATTCTCTTCCTTTAGCGATGCCAAGCTGTGACAGCTGCAAACCTGAACGTGTGCCCAAAACAGGCCTCATGCAAAGCCAGGCATGCCCACAGCTGGAGGGACACAAGCGATGTGTCCTGATCTGGTTATGCAGGACACCAAAAACACATCACTGACTGTATTTACAAGACTGACCCACCCTCATCATTTTTGACCTAAAAGAGGCATCAGAGAACAGTCAGTCCAGCAGAGAGCCCGTGCATTTACCCAAGATACAGCCCCGTGCAGGGATGGGTGCATCACTCACCCTCTGCTGCATTTGGATTGAATGATGAGAGGGAGAAGGAGGAGGAGTTCAGCTGAGCAGGGACGCAGCAGCAGGACAGGGAGACACATGGTCCTTACCCAAGGTGAGGGGCACACAGCCAGAGGCCACGATCTCCCGGTAGGCCTCTCGGATGAGGCGGCAGCTGTCGGGCAGGTTGTAGAGGTTCACATTCACGTCCCCGATGTCAGCGACCCGCAGGGAGTCGAAAGGCGCTGCCCCGGTGCTGCCGTTGCACCTCCTCACCATGGCCGACTCCGCGCGGATCTGACGTGGGCCGAACCTGGGCAATGGCACAGCTGGGAAAAGCCACCGGGCAGAGCCCTCCTCAGCAGAGGAGAGCTGTGCCAGAGTGAAGCACCAGCTCCCCACAGCTCGCCCTTACCTGGCTCCCGGCCGGTTGGATGTTCCCGTATCCAGCGGGACACCGACAAACGCCGCGTCCAGTCCCTGCGCTGACGCCTGCACGGGGAGCCTCATCATGGAGCAGACCCCCACGGGCCGGGCCACGAGCAGGGCGCTGGGGGGCACGTTGAACTGTGAGCCCCAGCGGCAAGGGGCCCTGCTCCCCGGGATCAGGGGCTGGAGGAACCCCCTGGACACACTGCGTGAGGCGGCCTGAGGAGCCAGGAGCCACGGGCCGCAGTGTGAGGTAGCCACTGCAGTGGTCACAGCCAGCTTGCGGGTGCAGGGCCCAGCTCGCCAGGGCAGCAGTTGGAAGCAGCCAGCCCAGAGCAGGTGCCTCATCCTGCTCCACGGACTCCCACCCTCTGTGCCACAGGGAACACGGCGAGAGGTGCTGTAGAGCCGGTTCCGTCTCCACTCGAGTGCCAGGGGTGGGTAGAGAGCCAGCAGCCTCCGCCAAGCCTCCCTCCAGGGTTCAAAGTGCAGTCAGACACCCCACTGCCCAGGGAAGGGCAGAGATCCCGCCCAGCCACCCCCTTTCCCAATGGCACAGTCCTGGCAAACACCAGGAGCAAACACGGCAGTGAGAGGCTTTGGCTTGAGCATCTCCACCAAGAGCCTGCAGGGATTATCAGGACAGGGCAGGAGGGGACACACTGGGAAACGTCCCTGTTTGCTCCCCTCGGGCATTCACAGACAGCACGGCAGCATTTGCAGCATTAACAGCTTGTACTTTTAACCTGCACCTCACAAAAGCACCCAGAATGCTGAAGAATCATAAAAACGGAAGGCAGGAGGGAAAGAAAACAAAAGGAAAGTCTGATCTCAGCAGAACCACGGGCAGACAAAATGCAAGCACAGGGGAAGCATTGACAGGGATTTAAGGACCAGAGGGACAAGCCGTGGGACAAGCATTTTAGCATTTTGAGGACATAGATGAAATGATTGCCAGGGCAAGCAAGTTTCCAGGGTCTGGAGTTGACCAGCACAGATTAAACCCTGGTTGGGTGAACACCAAGCAGCTTGAAATCAGATGGCTCCAGCTCCTAATTCTGCTCCCTACTCATGTAGAGACTAGACCTGAGAGAGGGAAAGGCATGGGAATGATGTTCACAGCAGAAAGAGGGCTCAGAGCAGAGATCCACCACACAGGGACAGTATTTACTCTTCAAAAGGCTCCAGAGACAGTGTCCAGCGAATGTGCCTTGCTGCCAGACCTGGGCATGGAGCTCATGGGAAAGCACACACAAACCCAAGGCAGCACAGGCACCCTGCAAGAATTCAGTATTGTAAGCAAAAGCAGCACCCATGTTGGTTGGGTCAGATCAATATTACAAAGGTCGTTTTTTGTAACTTTTTCCCCCAAAGAGCTCAGTTTTCTCTGATTCCCTCTTTGCTGAATCGAAATGCTGTACAAGACCCTGGCAGAAAATTATCACGTGATGATTAGGGATATCAGCCATTGCTGTCATTCCACCTGGAAACTGCAGGAGCAGCCAGAGATACACCATGCAGGAGAGCACAAAACAGGCCCATCCACAAGCAAAATCCATTCCTCTTTGGGAAACTCAACTGGAATAAAATACCGTGTTCCACAGTCAGCACTGGAAAGAGCTGAACAATTGAGAGAACCCACACAGCCACAGAGCTTTATCTTCAATTTATTGTGCAACAAGCATCAATAACTTTGTCCCCAAGTTCCTCTAAACACATTTATAGACACAAAATCGAATGATGTTTCATAAACATGGCTGTTGTTATTTAAAAGATTGATGTCTCCCGCCCTCCCCACCAAAGGATGTTATTTGACTGAATTAAAAACAGGCAGGTGAAACAGCAGAGCATCACACTAAGCTCTTCAAGCAGGTGCTGCTGCTCAGCCTCATTTTGTTTGGAGCACCATCCCTAACTGGACAGTCTGACTCAGCCTTGGACCCTGCGGCAGCGTCACCACACAAGTACAACAGTTAAGAACAGACACAGGCGGGGTTTGAGGACGATGTGCTTCCACTATCCTGCGTACAGCTGTGAGGTACTCAGTGCTGCTGACGCTCATGTTACCAGGCAGCACCTCAGCAGGAAGCTTCCAGGCTCGTCATTTTGCAGCTCACAGGAATATCAGCCTCAGATCACTACTGGTTTCCCCAAGAACAGAGACACTGCACGTCCCTTTGTCAGCTCAGCTTTCTCAGAGTGTTGTTAAAATCGTGATGTAAAGTGCAGCCAGACAGTGCCTCCTCCCACCCACCCCATCTCAAAGGGAACCTGCTCCACTCCACACACAAGTCGAGTTCCCAAAAGGGAGCAAATCCAACCACGTACCTCAGGACACCTGCAAGGTCCACACACCCTCCCACCCAGAGAGTAAGGAAGCAAAGGCATCTCCTCTAGCAGGGGGAGAAAAGCAGGGTGTGCTAGCACTTGCTAGAGGAAATTCAAGCTCTTAAACACAGGCCTGCAGTTTGTTCCCTAAAGCACTACAGGATTCTGGGCAGACAGAAAGGACAGGTTCCTATGTGCCTTTAGAAAGTGCCATTTATCTGAGATGCTCGTGTTCCAGGTGGTTCCTTCACCCAGAGTGGCTCCTCCAGGCCAGCAACAGGAATATTGCTGCCCAGAGGTCTTCGAACTCGAGGTTTGCCAAAAAGCACATCTTCATTTTGGTTTCTACCCGGCTTTTATCCACCAGCCTGTTGGTGAGCAGGGTGGCAGCAGACTGGCAGAGGAGCCAGGCGATCATCTGGTCGGGTTTCAGGGTCCTGGATGCTACAACACTGTCACCCCAGAGGCTCAGGTGAAGGACATTTGCAGCAACTCTCGCAGACAACCTCTGCAAGAGGAGGGAGAGGGAAGGTTAGCTGATCCCTCCGCACTGACAAAACTCCCTGTCAACTAAAAGCTCTTTGTGATTATTTGTGTCAGGCTGCTGAGTGAAACCCCCAATTTGAGGTCCAGTCCTGACACAAACATCTGCTGAAATCCCTGAAATGATTCAGCACCACTGCTCCTCAGCAAAGACTTTTTGTTTGAATTTGACCCCTGCAGTGAGATCTGGATCAACTCCTGCACCCGCAACCTTCCAAGGCAAAACGATCCCCAAATGACACTCCCAAAGGGAATATCTTGAAGACAACGGTGTCTTACCTTGTTGGGATCCCTCTGAAGCAGCATCTTTATCACTTGCTTCACCTCGAGGGGCACGTGATCAGGCAGGAGTGGCAGCTGATCCTCCTGGTAACTTCTGCTTTCCAGGGTCGAGTCCCCGTGGCCATAGAAAGGGTTGGCCAGGCCCAGGATTTCGTAGGCGATCGCTCCAACAGCCCAAGCGTCTGCTTTACTGTAGTTGATCACTGTGCCTGGACCAGGTGACGCTGTGATCACCTGTCATGGAGAGGGGGATGCTCAAATAAACAGCCCCAGTGTGGCCTCTGCGCTAAAATTTGATTTTCAATGGTCAAATCAGCATTTTCCCTGTAATAAACTGAAAGACTGAAACCCAAGGTGGGTTCCATTGAGATCTCCAGTGTACATATTCTCCATTGGCATGGAATAAGCCTCTGGCACTGCTCAGCCCACTGGGATGCTGGGAGGAGTTTGGACATTGCACCTAAGCTTTAGCTGTTGCCACTGACTGGCATTCTCCGAGTCCCAAGGGTTATTTCCTGCTGGAATTATAGAGACAGGAGACATGGAGATGAACAACTGACACCACGGCAAGCTGCTCCAGGTCCAGCAGGCAGTTAAGGGTGTCTTGGCTTTTATTAGGGTTATCATCAGAGAAATAAAAAGGAACTGTAAATAATTTCACAACTGCCTTGAACTTCTGCCAAAAACCACTGTTGCAACACAAGGAATGCTGCATGTAATTCTTTACAGTTACACAGGAAGGGGCCTGAATAAAGACTGAAGAGTAAATTTTGGGAGAAAGACACCAACTGATTATATTTCACCTGTTGGAGCTCAGGGTGTTGGATAGTGCTCAGCTCAGGCTTCACCAAGCCTAACTTAAGTTAGGACACGGACCTTCTATGCTGCCAAAACTTTTAGTCCCAACAGCAGGACAAGCAGAAAACCAGCACCACAAACCACCATTTCAGAGGGACTCACCTCTGGAGCCATAAGGCAGCCATTGCCACCCCGATCCACGTAGGAGCTGGTGAAAGGCAGCCTCAGGCCAACTTTTTCATCTGCCAGACAGCAGCCGAAGTCGGTGATGACCAGCCAGGGGCAGCCAGCTGTGAACAACACAGGGCTGGCAGAGTTAGGGGTCAGCTTGGGGAAGGACATGGCTGCACTAAACACCACATCACACCAACACCCAGTTTGGTGTCCTTTGCAAACTGGCTGAGGGTGCACTCCCATCCCCTCATCCAGAGAGTTGATTCAGTAGAGCAGCCTGGTCTAGTGGGAGGTGTCCCTGCCCATGGCAGGGGGGTTGGAATGAGATGAGCTTTAAGGCCCCATCCAACCCAGGCCATTCTATGATTCTAAATCCTGAGCCCTGGGGAAGAGGGAATCCTCCATATCCTGTGCCCTCTCTTAGGGAAGGCAGGGTGCATTCCAGTACTCTACGTCTCTCCCTGATATTCTGCAACCTAATTCTTCCACTCCTAATTACACAGACCTGCCTGCTATTGTTTCCTGCCCATTTAAATCTCAATCACACTGAAAACGAGCTCAGGTAATTAAAATCTCTGTTAGAGGCTGACAGAACAAGCCCAAGAAAAAGTTCCTTTTGGCTGTAACAGTCGATTCCCCTTGCTCCCAATCCATGTTTCATCATCCCAGGGTGCAGCAGAATTAACCTGGCTGGGGGGTAAGATTTTAAGAGGCTCTCTGTGCAGTTTGGCTTGAGAGAGATGACAGAGCCAATAGCCTGAAGCAAAGGCACCTGCAGCATCCTAAATGTGGCATTATCAGATGCTGCAGTAAATGTTGGCTGTGCTCATGCAATGCATCACCTCAGCAATGCTCTGTGTCCATGTTAATGATCCAAAACCTCATGCACAGACAGGATCCATGCCTTCCCCACTGCTGCAGTGACACCAAACACTAAGCCAAAAATTAAACCTGAGATTCTTCAAAGGGTTTGATGCTTTTTTTCCCCCTCCCCACATGCAGCTGGGTGAGACCTCCCTGAATACCCACACGACTGTATCCCTTCTGCGAATAAACTGGCATTAATCCTCAGGGATCTACGTACCAGAATCGAATTCAACCAGGATGTTGTCAGACTTGAGGTCTCTGTGTGCTATCCCATGTCGAACAAGATGGTCCACGCCTTCCAAGAGCTGCAAAATCATCATTGTGGAGAGGCGAACATCCGGAGTGTGCTCCCGCAGGTACTGGCGCAGCGTGCAAGGGTAACTAGGCAGAACAAGGAAAAACTGGGAATTAGCATCCTGGAAGCTTATCACTGGCAGTTCAGCCTCAGTGCTGGCTCGTCTCATTACTGATTCTACTCCATCTCTAGCAGCGTGCTCAGACTAAGGGTGAAGTTCAGGCTTAGGAGGGCAGGCGAATGGGGACAAACTCCACATTTCTTACTTTAATTTGGGGTAATTATTAAAAAGAACGGTTTGTGTTCATTGTGGAAGCAAAGTTAGAATCTCAAGGGCTTGGAACAGTCCTGGGAGGCATTTCCAAGAGCATACTCTGCTCTTTGGCAGCAGCCCAGGCCCAAGCTTTGCAGGAGCCTGCACAGCACCGAGTACCCAAGTCACGTTAACCAGATTCTCTCCACCTACTTCTTCATCACCAAGAAGAGTGTCCGGCTGTGACCGATCCCTCTGGGATTCAGGCTCAATGGAAGCATGTCGGGATACTCAGCAAAGGCTCCAGGCAGCAAAGGGACAGAGGATGTGAACGCTCGGATCACCTGGATTATGTTCGGATGGGGTTGCAACTTCTTCCTCCCAAGGATGGGTTTTCTGTGTGGAAGGAGAGGCACCACAGACTGCATCAGTCTCCTGGTCAGTTCTGACGGATCACAGACGTGTTGCTGTTATTTCTGGAATTACTTTTCCATTAATATGGCACATCCTCCCCACCAAAGGGTTCCATAGCAGCAAGCAAACACATTTGTTCTGCACTGGAAACCCCATCAGAGAGAGATTAAAGCTGCACAGCGAGGATTACAGGACTGCACATTGAGCAAACAGACATTCCCATCCTGAATTCATTCAGTGAGGAAGAAAACGGGCAGCAGCCTCTCTGCCCTCATCACCCATTTCCCAAGTGGCACCCTTGGCCCAGCATTTCCAAGGTGGATGCAGAGCACCTGCAGCTCGAGTGGATCCACCACAGCAGCTTCCAGTACCTTTTCTAGACTGAAGAATCTACCACAGCAAACTGAGCCAGCCAAGGCTTCACAGGGGCTCTCCTGTAGTAACTGGATTTCTCCATATTCCATGGCCACACAGGAAATACAGGTGCTTAACCAGCACTGCAAACAAAGCTTTGATAGAAACACCCACACATAACACTCAGCCTTTCATTTTACTCAAACCCC